GGAGCCAATGAAAAGGGAGACAGCCACTGCTCTCATGCACATCACTGGATCAAGATTGGGCTCAAGTAAATATTTGGAGGGGGGGGGGGGTGCTGCATACTGAAGATTTATTACCTTCATGCAGAATGGATGAAGGTAAAAAAACTCTCAGCCTTCAGAACCACTTTAAACCCGGGGACAGGTTTGACACATGCAGTAAAGTAGTATTGAGCTGTCATTTACACCCTACTTTCTGTTCTGCTTACCAGGTAACTTGTAGGTTTGTTACAAATATATAATCCCTTGTATCAAAAGGCAGAATTGTACTGTTGAAGGCCATTGTTTGATACATGAGGAGGCCTCTATAGAGGAATAACTAAAAACCAAAGGATCCTGGTGTAAATGTTTAAAAATTAAACTGTGGGTACTCCTAGCTAAGTAAAAAAATCACATCCTGTCATTGTCAGCGCCATTTTTTCTATATTGTCAGGACTTAATGTACATGATCTTTACAACCAAGTTAAAAATAGCATTTCAGTGGAAGCCTACCTTCTACTTATTATTTCATCTCTTGTTTATGGAAAGTAACTGCGTTTTCAGCCAAAATGCTGCCATGGACTATAATTAGAGTCTCCACTTAGCTTAATAAAACAGAGAGAAACGCATAATGGCCTTACCATGCAGGATGGCTGAAAGAGACATCGAAGCAGCAGTCATTACACTTCCATTAGGTGAAGCCTATCTATGCTCAGTGTTTAGGATATGATAAAATGTAATGGAAAAGCACAGTCTAAAATGCTCTTACACTTCTAAGTACTCAATTATAGCCACACTGAATTGTACCTACACCTCCATGAACCAGCCAAGATTTTGAAAAGGCCACACAAGGCTTAGCTGAAACCATATGCAACTCTGCGAGAAGGAATTTGTAAGATCCAGAGGTGAATCATCTACACGGCAAACTGGCCTTTATATTAAGAGAAAAAGCCCTGTTTGTACACCATATGGAAAGCCATTGCGTGAGTTAAAAATGCATCGTGACAATTTATAAAGACATGTAGACATTTTTTTATTGCGGTTTTCTTGTTCACCTGCAGGAGATTTGTCCATCCACCCTGTAAAGTGTGGCCAGCCTAAGATTCATCTTAGATGTCACATACAGTGCTGTATTTCTGATGAATGCCTATGGATTTCTAGGCAGGAATCTTGATCAGCAATTGAGTAACTTAATTTGAAACCGCAGGCACAGAAATATGTGTAGGGAGTTTATTATGCAACAGTGGATACATAATAAGTGATTACATAGCAAAATAAAAGAGCTAACAAATAACACCACACAGATAACAGAAATAAAGGCAAACAATAATGAACAATCAAGCTACAAAAAGCTAGAATCAACATATCTGCAAGGTTATTCACTCAACCATATACAGGGTGCAGGATGGACTAATGCAGGCCATAGCGGGTCGTTTATCGGCCGAATTTTCGTCCGCACGAAAAATCGGCTGATATTCATGCCATTAGTGGGGCCAGCCCGTCGCCATTTTTCGCGGATCTTCTTGTTTAGTTTTATTGCTCATGCTGGAAAATCTGCGAAAAACGTCCATTTTTTCGTGGACATTGGTGGCAGCATCGGCAACGAGGCCGACTGATTTTTCATTTATCAGTTGAAAATGTGGCCGATAAATGGCCCGTCTATGGCCTGCCTAAGGCGGGACTTGGAATGGGACAAGCAAAGGATCAGAAGGAGAAAAGACAATGAAATTTGGCCAGATGCTGAGATTCAGGATCAAAGTATAACAGGAGGCTAGAGATGCACAACATGCAGTCTGAATGCTGGGGAGCTTGACTCAGGAAAAGGTTGGGATATAAGAACCTCAGCCATGCTCAGGTGGTAACTAGTGCAGTAATCGTTACTACAAGGAAACGCTACTTGGTACTGGTATCACTAGATCAGTGGTGTCCAAACTGTGGCCAGATGCAGCCCTTTGCTTGCCTTTATCTGGCCCTTAAGGCATTATTACTACGACTGACACCGACAATGGAGCAGAATTCCTGCCACTGACACTAACAATGGGGCACTATTCCTTTCACCAATACCAACCATGGGGCATAATTCCTTTCACTGACACCAACACGGGGGGCACTATTCTTCCCACTGACACCAACGATGGGCACTATGCCTCCCACTGGCACCAATGATGGGGCACTATTTCACCCACTAACACCAACTATTGCTCCTCCTAATATCAAAGCTTGGGGCATCGTTTAGTCCCACTGGGCACAGTCCCCCTAAAGTCTGAAGGACAGGAAACTGGCCTTTTGTTTAGAAAGTTTAGAGAACCCTGCATTAGATCCTAAATTGTCCCAATGCTTCCTGAGATGCATGACATGACTCTCCCTGGAGACTTTGGGCAGCTGGGGGTGTCATTCTTGCCTAGGTGATAAAAGTGAAAACGTGGGCTTCACTCCAGAGGAAGGAGGGAGCAGTATTCTTCAAGAAGAAAAGAGTAAAGGTCCACTTTACCAATTATCAAAAGTCACAAAAACATTTTTGCATTTTGCATGGAGAAGGAAAGGTCTTCTGTCTGTTTGTATTGCTAGATCCCTGATAGGTAGATTTCCCATCGCCAAAAATAGGTGCACACCAAAACCAGATGTGAGGGGGAAAGAAGGCCTTTCCCTAAAGAAGTCATGTGAGAAGTGACGCAACGCATCGTGCAGAGTCGGGTGATGTCACTTCTGGCTTGAGATTGAAACCGGTTGTTAGAGGTAAACCACTATATATTGTTTTGCATGCAATCCCTAAATCAAGGGGAGTGTACAATCTGTAACTCACATTTACATACACATACTAGGACCAATTTAGACAGGATCCAATTACTCTTCCAGCGTGTTTTATTGGGAGGAAACTTTACCCAGAGGAAACCCATGCAGGCACAGGGAATATATGCAAACTCCATATATATATGGTTGGGATTATATACCAGTGACATTTACATCAATCCCTAACCCTCAACTGGGTGTACAATCTAAGGTCCCTAACTCACATTCATACATACACATACTAGGGACCAATAGACAATATTTTAGCCACTGTGGACATACAGTACTTTGACCTCTTAAAGGGACCATCAGCTTATTTTCTTGGACCAGGAGTACACTTCCATGGAGGAGAGGATCCAATTCAAACCTTCCAGCGTTTTTTTGGGCTGTGGGGAGGAAATGGGGCACCCAGTTGGAAACCCATGCAGGCAAGACACAGGGAAAACATGCAAACTCCAGGCAGGTGGTTTTTTGTGGTTGGGATTCAAACCAATATTTAGTGCTGCAAGGTGTAAGTGCTATAATAACCATTTTTTTAGCCACTTTGCTATCCCAACATTTTGTGGATTGTTAATAAAAATAATACATTATTGGCGAATTTCCCTTTCACTGCTCCTGCAAAAAACAATACTTTTTTAGCCACTGTGGACATACAGTACTTTGACCTCTTAAAGGGACCATCACGCTTATTTTCTTGGACCAGGAGTACACGTTTCCATGGAGGAGAGCCCATACTGATGGGTTTCAAGCTCATATGAAGGGGGTTTAATTTTTAAGCAAAGGGTCTAGTTGGAAGGTTAGTGTGTATTCTGTATGGTGGTGGGGAGCACTGTCCTGTTGGATGTGATTGTACACAAGCAAGACACTATGTTGAATTAACTGTTAAGCACCATTGGACTTTGTTGCTGATTGGGACTTTTTTGTCACTTTTTACTGTGTAATTCATTATCCCCCATATTCATGTTATTTATATCAGCGATATTTGATTCCCTCATAAAGATTATCATCTACTATATAATTCATCCCCCTTATATATTTTTTAATTCAATTTGATTTTGTCATATCTTGTTTTGGTGGATTGTTAATTAAAGACTTACAGTCCCCCCTGTTTTAAGGTACTCATACCTATACCCTATTTTTCCGGTGTAGCATATCTGCTCCTATGAGGTGCTGTCCCCCTGATGTGCGCATGTGCCAGTTTAGTTAGCCGACGGCGACTATGCGCATGATACGTTTCCTCATAGGAGAAGTGATTTTTACCGGTTATCACTGCATAGTTCACAGGGCACATAGCGGGAGCAGCTCCGCAACGGACTTAGGTTTTGTTTTTATGTTTATTGCCTGTCACCTTGGGAGTGTGCTCCGGAGCCGCACATTAGTGGTAGAGCCGCATGCGGCTCTGGAGCCGGGTTGCAGACACCCGGTCTAGGTACTGTCTGACATAATCAAGGCAGCGCATGAGTTTTCTTTGTATCTTACATTTATGTAAAAATATTCACACCTGGAACTTTTCCTTAGTGATAATGCTTGAATTTTAAATTTGCCTGTGCCATTACTTACATCATGTTCATAGATACACCTGACCTCTGGTTATATTATTATGTTACTAATCTCTGTAAACAGAAGCTGATATTTATGGTCCTTTTAAAGCAGACTGAGACATGAGATTGCTGCTTTCCACCTATAGAATGAAACAGCAGAGGAGCCTATATTTCTTCGTACACACTGGGTACTGTCACAGCCATTATTTCATGGTAGTAAAACATATGTCCAGCTGCTCTGCAGGATTTATCATTCAGAGTCTTGTCAATGGCAGGATAAATCAGTCATCAGGCTACAAACATGCTGTTTCAACATAAAGGATTGTGGACATAGTAATCCTAGCTACTTTAAACCATATTTTTTTTAAGTTATAAAAAAATACATTTTGAACATTTACACAAACACTGAAATGTAAGGCCTCATGCACACAGGGCGTTTTTGCAGCCACTTTTAGGGGCATCAGACGTTTTTTTTTTTTACTGCTGCCAAACGGCCCTCCATATTATCCTATGTGTCCATGCACACACAGAATTTTAGAAGCTTTTAGTAGCAGTAGCATTCACCAGCAGGAAAAAAAAACCCCAGGGCCAGTGTGTCCAAGAACAGTAGTGTTTTGGCAGAAAAAAATGCTTGACACGGCTAAACGCTAAACGTGTTTAGTGCTTGAGCGTTAATTCATTTTAATGGCCAGAATAAATTATTATTCTGGCTAATTAAATTAATTAACGCCCAAAAGCTTGATGCTTGTAAATGTGCTGAAACCAGGGGTGGACTGACCATTCGAGGACTCGGCACTGCCTGAGGGCCCGGGGTCAGTAGGGGCCCCATGAGATGCCGCTGGTACCGTTCATTGGCTTTTTCATAGATTTTTTAAGTGTGGGTGAGGACATAGGGGCCCCATGATCCCCTATTGCCCGGGGGCCCCATGAGTTGTCAGTCCCCCCTGGCTGAAACGCTTGTAAAAACATTAGATACTTTTACAAGCGTCAGGCATTTTTTCTGCAAAAACGCAGCTACCAGGAGGACAGCTTCTAGGAGAGTTTTTTTTTCAAAGTCCTGTGTGCATGAGGCCTAAAGGGGAATTCTAGCTTAAAGTGATACTAAAGTTTCAGATGTTTTGTTTTAAAAATAACAAACGTGTCATACTTACTTGCTCTGTGCAATGGTTTTGCACAGAGCAGCCCTTACCAGGGGCGGACTGACCATTCGAGCACTCGGGCACTGCCGAGGGCCCGGGGTCAGTAGGGGGGCCCCATGAAATGCCCCTGGTACCTTTTTTATAGGCCTTTTTGAGTGTGGGCAAGGACACAGGGGCCCCATGATCCCCTATTGCCCAGGGGCCCCATGAGTTGTCAGTCCGCCCCTGGCCCTTACCCTACTCTTCTGGGGTCCCCGGATGGCGCTCCTGGCCCATCCCCTCTGCTGAGTGCCCCCAGAGCAAGCTGCTTGCTTTGGGGGCACTCGTGTGTGCTCACTCCCCGAGCCGCCTCTGTGTGTCTATAAGACACAGAGAGCATCGTGTGGCCTCACCCCCTCCCTCCTCACTGGCTGTAATTGACAACAAAGGGAGCCTATGGCCCCCAATTCTGTCTCTGAGCCTATAAAGAGGGAGATTTGGCTGTGCCTCCACCTAGGACAGGGCCTCTGCGAACAGAGGGGATTCTCTACCTGGGAAATTGACCAGAAAGTAATTGAAAGCAGAAGAACTATTGGAACCAGCATATACCATTAACCATAAGTATATAGATGCACTCCAGTATGGAAAAAATACAAGCTTTATATAAGAAAAGATTAATAATAGTACATACATCCAATGTACAAACAGATATTACCAGCAAAGGGCCCAACCAAGAGTCCTGGTGGAATTTATTTATTTCAGATACTTATATAGCGCAGTCAATTTATGCAGCACTTTACATATATATTGTGCATTCACATTAGTCCTTAACCCTCAAGGGGCGTACAATCTACGGTCCCTAACTTACATTCATCCATACACATACTAGGGCCAATTTAGACAGGATTAACCTACCAGCATGTCTTTGGAGTGTGGGAGGAAACCAGAGTACCAAGAGGAAACCCATGCAGGCACAGTGAGAACATGAAAACTCCAGGCAGGTGGTGCCGTGGTTGGGATTCAAACCAATGACCCTAGTACTGCCAGGTGGAAATGCAAACAATTTAGCCACTGTGCTGCAAAGTCCAGTTGCAGGGGACTCTGAGACTGAAGATCAGCAGTGATGGGAATATCTTTCAACTGTTAGTGAGCAGAAATACAACTATGTGAGCAGAAATAGAAATTCCACCATGAGGTCACCACTCACTTTTACCAACGCTGACCACAACTTATTTGATAGTATTTTTTTTCAGTATGATCACATTTTTACATAATTTTAACCCCTTGGTGCTGATGTCACACAAATATGTGGCCTCACAGAATGCCTTTTTTTCCTGGGGCCCCATATTTGCGTATCTGGTATAATTCACCTGGATGTACACAGTATTTGTGATATGTACGGTTTTACTAACAGATGTCAAAGTTGCAAAATTTTACTTAGGCATCAATATTTATATTAATTAGACATAAAGTGATCAATTACTACAAACCTTAACTGTGACTCCGTGATGTGATTACTAATATTCTGTATAGACCAGCCTCTCTCAGCTGAGGGGCCACCCGGGTTTATCAGACTTATTATCAAACAACGGAACCCCTGATGATAGTATAACACACATACCTGGAGTCATGAAAGTAGTCTTTCTTCTGTGGTGCCTCACGTGTGCTTGGAGTGCAGTGATTGCATGCTCACAGCATGGAGACCAAGGCACTATTCCTCCCACTGACACCAACAATGGGGCACTATTTCTCCCACTGACACCAAAGATGAGGCACTATTCCTTCTACTGACACCAACGATGAGGCACTGTTCCTTCCACTGACACCAACGATGGGGCACTGTTTCTCCCACTGATACCAATGATGATGGGGCACTGTTCCTTCCACTGACACCAATAGTGTGGCACTGTTCCTTCCACTGACACCAACAGTGGGGCACTGTTCCTTCCACTGACACCAACAGTGGGGCACTGTTCCTCCCACTGACACCAACGATGGGGCACTATTCCTCCCACTGACACCAACGATGGGGCACTATTCCTCCCACTGACACCAACAGTGGGGCACTGTTCCTTCCACTGACACCAACGATAGGGCACTATTCCTTCCACTGACACTGACCCGCACATGCACTTATGACATATTCCTTTAATGCAGAACTCCTCCTACTTCCTGTTAAAACCAGGGGTGTGGAGTCGGAGTCGGAGGAAATTTTGGGTACCTGGAGTCGGAAAACAATGCTCCGAAGTACAAAAACTGAGGAGTCGGAAGTACAAAAAAACTGAGGAGTCGGAGTCAGAACATTTATCTACCGACTCCACAGCCCTGGTTAAAACTACAGGACAGGAAGTGAGGGGAACTCACCCTAATAAGGTACAGATAGCTTGTGGTTGAGGCAGGGATTTTAACCCTTTCCTACTCTATCCAAAATGAAACACAAAAAGTTTTTGTCCTCTTGTGTGTTGTGTTTTATTTCACGGGTCTCCAAAGTAAGGCCCCTGGGCTACATTTTACCTAGCCTGAGGCTAGGGGGGCCACACACATAATGGCAAAGTGAAAACAGAATTTTAGAAATGCCTGTAAATTTATTAAAAAGAAAAAACTGAAATATCATGTGTACTTAAGTATTCAGACCCTTTACTAGTACTTTAATGAAGCACCTTTAGCAGCAATTACAGCCTCGAGTCGTGTTGGGTATGACGCCACAAGCTTTGCACACCTGGATTGGGGGATTTTCTGCCAGTCTTCTCTTCAAATCCTGCAGTCAGGTTGGATGGGGCTGTCAGTGGACAGCTATTTTTCTAGAGATGTTTAATAGGGTCCAAGTCAAGCCTCTAGGACGGGTGTCGGCAACCCGCGGCTCCAGAGCCGCATGCGGCTCTTTTTCACCTTTGCTGCGGCTCCGGAGCACACTGCCCACCAGGTGACAGGCAATAGGGTTGCCGTAGCTCAGTGGTCGGCAAGCCGCGGCTCTTTTAACCTCCCTGGCGGTTTTCCCGAGTGTAGCTCGTGGTAGAATTTCTATACCACGAGCTACACTCAGGCTTACCATGCGGCGCTGCTCTGGGGGTCCCTGCAGCACTTACCTTGTCCTTCGTTCCCGCGATGTGTCCCCTGCAGCGTCCCCGGCCATCTCCTCCGGCCGATGCCGGCATCCGGCTTCTGTGTTCCGGTCCCCGTGACGTCGGGACGTACGGGCGCCGCAGGCGGCGGGAAAATTTAAAAAAATTTAAAAAATGTCTTTTTTTTTTTTTTCAATTTTCAATAGTAAAACATTGCTGTTTCATCCCATTTCACATACATATTGTCCCTAGTGCTTTGTCCTGTGCCCTGCCTGCATTTTGTCTGTTCTTTCTGCCTGGAAAGTCCATGGCGTCCAAAAAGCGTCCCTTTAGGTCAAAAGCGGTTTTAGACCGGCTAGAGAACAGCGATAGTAAATCAGAACCACTTGCAGAATTGAGTGATAATGATTTGTGGGGAAATTTTCCTAAAAATTACAGCCTACAATAAAAAACTATTTCCATGCGAAAAAATGGTACCGCTTTCAGCACAAAAAATCGGAAGGAATCATACCGCTAGGGAGGTTAATGCAGCTCTTCTGTGTGCCGGGCGCCCGCTCCCCTCCCTCCTCTCGGGCGGCCGCCCCAAAAGTCAGGACTCTGCAGCTAGCCTAGCAATGGGCAAACTACGGCCCGGCGGACCTTATAATCCGGCCCGCGGAGCGTGGCAAACATTGGCTTTCAGGATGTAGGCGGGGCAGCGTGACGAACTCCTCTCCTCTCACAGTCCGCCCTGAAGACCAGAACTGCGCGGGAACACGGCGAGAGGAACGCGCGGAGTACAGGTAAGTGAATTGACGCAATATGGGAATGAATTACTATAGGGGGGATGAATTACTATAGGGGGGATGAATTACTATAGGGGGGATGAATTACTATATGGGGGATGAATTACTATATGGGGGATGAATTACTATGGGGGATGAATTACTATAGGGGGGATGAATTACTATAGGGGGGATGAATTACTATAGGGGGGATGAATTACTATGGGGGATGAATTACTATATGGGGGATGAATTACTATATGGGGGATGAATTACTATGGGGGATGAATTACTATATGGGGGATGTATTTTCAGTTTTAAAAATGTGGCTCTCAAAATAAATTTTAATCGTGGTTTTGGCGAGATTTGGCTCAGTTGAAAAGGTTGCCCACCACTGACCTAAGGCTATGATTGTGATTATGACGATACACTGTGGCCCTGATTAACCCTTTGCTTACTGGGCCCTTAAACCCCCTTCATGACCAGAGCGCTTTTTGCAATATATGCAGTGTCGGATTTGTTTTAAATGTTGCAATGGTTTTGCGGCTCCCAGTCTTTTTTTCCCTCTCGGAAACGGGTCCAAGTGGCTCTTTATGTCTTAAAGGTTGCAGACCCCTGCTCTAGGTCATTCACAGAATTGTGAAAAACAAACAAAATGGCAGTTGACTAGTGCAAACCTCCAACTCTTTGGATTATTTTCTACCATTTCTGGTTACACAAGAAAATCCATACCCACTATCTTCAAGATATGGTACACTCACACAGAAGGTAATGAGATGATTATTAATCAGCCAATTAACCTGCATATGTGCATCCTACTAGGCTGAAATGATGATGACAAGCTATTTGAGTCTTCTGAATTCATGATTATCCACAATTTATTCCTAGGAACCTTTCATACATTTTTTTTATGTTTATTAAGGAACAGTTTAAGAGGAGAACGAATTTATTGCTCACCAAGTATGGAAATTTCATCTGATGAACACAGAAGAATTCCTACAGCCTCGTATTGATTACTTTTGCCCATACAGCTATCTGGAAGATGCCGAACGGTTCTTTATTTTAATTCTTTGATTTTAAAACATGATTGTACCATGTTCACCATGTCTATATCTACCTTTTCTACGATCTATGAGATCAAATAAATTCAACATTGCATTCACCAATGTAGTGATATATTACTCCGCATAGGATTTAATATAAACCATCTTTTAGGCAGGTTTGCGCTAGTCAACTGCCATTTTGTTTGTTTTTCATAGTATTTCTGGGTTTACAATCCACACTTAATTAGAAATGAGTCGGAGATATTAGAAGGATATATTTGATTAGTATGGCAATTTTTTCTTATTATCTTTATGTCATTCACAGAGTTGTCCCTAAGCCACTCCTGTGTTGTCTTGGCTGTGTGCTTATGATCATTGTCATGTTGAAAGGTGAACCTTTGGCCCAGTCTGAGGTCCTGAGCGCTGTAGAACAGGTTTTCTCTGTACTTTACTCCATTCAGCTTTCCCTCAGCCCTGACCAGTCTCCCAGTCCCTGTTGCTGAAAAAACACCCCACAGCATGACGCTGCCACCACCATGGTATTGGGCAGGTGATGAGCAGTGACTGGTTTCCTCCAGACATAATGTTTAGAATTGAGGCCAGACAGTTCAATCTTGGTTTCATCAAACCCTTGTCAGACCCAGAATCTTGTTCTTCACAGTCTGAGAGTTCAGGTGCTTTTTTGAAAACTCTAAGTAGGCTTTCATGTGCTTTACACTGAGGAGAGGCTTCTGTTTAGCCACTCAGCCTAGACTGGTGGAGGGCTTCAGTGATGTTTGTCCTTCTGGAACTTTGTTCCATCTCCACACAGGATCTTTAGAACTCAGTCAGGATGCCCATCAGGTTGTTGGTCACCTTTCTTACTAAGGTCCTTCTCCCAGATTGCTCAGTTTGGTTGGGGGCAAGCTTTTGGAAGAGTCCTGGTTGTGCCAAACTTCTTCCGTTAGAGAATTTTGGAGGCCACTGAGCTCTTGGGAACCTTCAGTGCAGCAGTTTTTATTTTTTTTCGTTGTAGCTTTCCCCAGATCTGTGCCTTGCTATAATCCTGTCTCTAAGCTCTGCAAGCAGTTCCGTTGACCTCATGGCTTTTGCTCTGATGCAGTATGCATTGTCAGCTGTGGGGGCTTTTATAGAGAGGTGTGTGCCTTTCCATATCATGTACAATCAATTTGATTTAACACAGGTGAACTCCAATCAAGCTGTAGAAACATCTCAGCAATGAACAAGAGAAACAGGAGGCACCCAAGCTAAATTTCAAGTGTCATGTTTCTAAAATTCTGTTTTCACTTTGTCATTATGGGGTACAGAGTGTAGATTAATGAGGACAAAATGAATGTAACCACCTGCTGCCCATAGGATGTCATATGGCCTCCTGGGCTTTCAGTGGTTATACCAGGATGATGCCTGCAGCTACAGGACCATCCTGGTATCTTTCTGTTCAGCCAGTGATTCCCTGCAGCAGGAGTCTCCAAACTTTCTAAGAAAAAGGACAGTTTACTGTCCTTTGGCCCTAGAAGGGGCCAGACTGTGGCAAGTGGGATTAGAAGATGCCCTGGTATCCGTGGGCATAAACAGTGCCTCATCATTGGTATTAACGGGAGGAAGAAGGCCTCATCGTTGATATAAACAGGTAGAATAGTGCCACTGATGGTGTCAGTGGAAGGAAGGGTGTCCCATCATTGGCATCAGTTGGCGGAATAGAGCCCCAAGGGCCAAACAAAGGGTCACATCTGGCCCCTGGGCCGCATTTTGAAGACCACTTCCCTACAATGTAAAAGCCATACTAGTGGTTAATTAGCCACTAGATTGCTTTTACAGGTGGGAGGTGTTGGGATGCCCTGGATCCGATCTGGAGGTTCCGCTAGGTTGTCATAGAGCTGGCCATGGACCGGATGGTCCCTGGCCATCTCTATGGTCCTGGTACACCGGAAGTGATGTCCTGACATTACTACTGGGTCTGGCAGATATAAACGCTACCATTTTTTTCTGAGATCAATGTTTTTTTTTTTATCTCATGCTTTCCTGGGTAGAGGAGAGATATGGGGTCTCATAGACCCCAGATGTCTCCATAAAACCGACCTGCCATGCCTTATTTCTATCACAAGGGATGTTTACAGTTCTTCTGATAGAAAAGTGATTAAAAAAAATTAAAGGGACAGTGTAAAAATAAAATATATTTTTTTTACATTATACCCATCCCCCTGTGCTGACACAGAGTAGTGCATGTATATGTAGGTCACACCCGCATATGTAAACGATGGTCACAGCAAACGTGAACGTTATAGCGAGAGCAATATTTCTAGAGATATACCTCCTCTGCAACCCTAAACTGGGAACCTGCAAAAATGTTTAAAGAGTCGCCTATGGAGATTTTTAACCACTTGCTGACTGCAGATAGCAGAAAGACGGCTTCACCGCGGCCCGCCAGTTCTGGGAGGGCATCATATGACGTGCTCCCAGAACGCACCTTCCCGTGCGCCCCCAGGGGCGAGCACCAGGCGATCTCTGTGTTCGCTGTGTCCGACGGACACAGCTGATCACGTGTGATGTGGTAAAAGGCCAGTCACAGCTGCGTTTTACCACATGATCAGCCGTGTCCAATGACACAGCAGATCATCGGTAAATGCAGTTGCCGGTTATCGGCTGCACTTTCCTCATGCGGTCAGAGCGTGAGGAAAGTACTGCCGATATCCGGCCATTGTCAGAGGACGGATCAGCACCGATCATCAGGGCACTGATGATCAGTGCCCTGATGATCAGTGCCCAGCAGTGCTGCCCACCTGTGCCCAGTAGTGCCACCCATCAGTGCTGCCCAGCATTGCCGCCAGTCAGTGGCATCAGTCAGTGCCACCCTTCAGTGCTGCCCATCAGTACCGCCTATCAGTGCCCATCATTGTTGCCTATCAGTGCAGCATCATCAGTGCCGCCTCATCAGTACTGCTTATCCATGCCACCTCATCAGTGCCCATCGGTGCCGCCTATCAGTGCAGCTTCATCAACGCACATCAGTGAAGGAGAAAAATTACCTGTTTGCAAAATATTATATTAGAAACAAATAAAAACTTTTTTTTTTTTGTTTTTGCTCTTTTTTTGTTTATAGCACAAAAAATAAAATGCCCAAATACCACCAAAAGAAAGCTCTATTTGTGTGAAAAAAATGATAAAACTTTCATATGGGTGCAGTGTTGCATGACCGCACAATTGTCAAAGTGCGACAGAGCTGAAAGCTGAAAATTTGCCTGGGCAGGAAGGGGGTATAAGTGCCCTGTAGGCAAGTGGTTAAATACCATGTTTGGCACCGTTCCGTGAGTGTGCACAATTTTAAAGCGTGACATGTTAGGTATCTACCAGTATTTACTCGGCGTAGGACCATCCTTTATATTTTACAAAAAAAAAAGTTGGGTTATATATTCTGTATTTTGGCATTAGAATTCATTAAAGTGTATTTTTCCCCCAAAAAAATTTGCGTTTGAAAAATTGCTGCTGTCAAAAAAAAAAAATTTCAACACCCACCATTTCATTCTCTGGGGCTTCTGTGCATATATTTATAAATATATACATAATACACGTAAGGCGGTGTGGGGGTTCGGATAAAAAATTTTCTGCAAAGAAAGATGATGATTTTTTTACACGTACAGTTTTGAACAGATAAGCGTACCTCGGTTAATGTAATTTTTGGTTTACGAATAAAAATACTGCCTCAGTTTACAACGGATTTTTTTTTCGCAATACGAACGGATTAATTGGTTTTCAGTGCATTTATGATTTTTTTTAAATCATGTCCCCGTACAGTATTTATGCCTTTAAAGTGCACTTTATAAAGAGTTTTGAACAGATAAGACTTTATTTTTACTTTTTTTCTGACCTCCGTAACGGATTAATTGGTTTTCGATGCATTCCTATGGGAAACCGCGTTTCGGTTTATGAATTTTTCGCAATACGAACGGTTTCATTGGTTTTCAGTGCATTTATGTTTTTTTTGTAATCATGTCCCTCGTATAGTATTTATGCCTTTACAGTGCACTTTATACAGAGTTTTGAACAGATAAGACTTTATTTTTACTTTTTTCTGACCTCCGGAACGGATTCATTGGTTTTCAGCTTTTTCAATACATTCCTATGGGAAACCGCATTTCGGTTTACGATTTTTTTTCGCAATACGAAACGTCCCGGAGAACGCATTAAATTGGTAAAGCGAGGTACGCCTGTAGTACAGAAATGTCAGGATTGGCCCACTAGGGAAGTTGATTCAGGCTGCAGGACTGAATAAAGGGAAGGGACTGAATGCTCTCTGAATGCACTGTACACAATGTATACAATGTATCATTCCTCCTGGTCCTCGGGGTTCCATTGTGTCCGGTGTTGGAATGTCTCAGGTTTGCATTGGAGATCTCAGGATTCCCAGCTGTAACGTCACAAAGCCAGCTGTCCTCCCGTGACGTCACAATAGCGAGGGGGGCGGAAGAGCAGGAGGCGGGGACACCGTGCTGTGTCGTCATCCCGATCCCGGGAGGTCAGACGGAAGAGCAGCGGTGAGGAGCAGGAGGAGGAGGGGGGGCGCTGTGCACTGTGCAGGCCTGTGGCCGGGGATCCGGGGAGGGCTGGAGCTGGCATCCGGAAGCCGGAGTGAGCATGGAGGCCGAGGACGGGCAGGAGCTGCGGGTCGGCTCGCTGGTGCCGGTCCTGGTGGAGCAGATGGTGAATGACACTCTGGTGGTGACCCTGAGCTGCGGGGAGAAGTCCTACAGCGGGATCCTCCTGGACTGCCGGAAGAAGTGAGTACAGCCATACACCGTGCGACCGGCAACCCTCAGCGACCGATCTACAGAGACACCCCCATCCCACACTGACTGCTGGCTTCATACACCATACAATCTGATTGTAGTGAGCACACATGCTTTTCTTCTTTTTTTTTTTTCTTTTTTTTTTTTTTTTTTTTTTCTTTTTTTAATTTTTTCAACATTCAATTTAATTAAATTGGTGGAATTTGCAATCCATTAATTAGCAATAAATTCCCTTCCAATCACTTTAGACTCCTTGTTGATCAGAGTCAGTTGGTCGGGGTGGAGTATTATTGATTGTTTTCCATTGATCGGCAGCACTGAGATTCCGTCATAAATTTGATCGTATTTCAGTCGATCGATTATGTGATTACACGGTGGAATCAGAGGTGGGGTTGATCATTTCCAATCATATCTATCGATATCCACTTCCCTGTATGTGGCGTATCCATCAAATGGGTGCCATCAGGTCAGAAAATGATCAATTGGATTATGTTGATCGTAGATTTGATTGTATTTCGATCCTTCAGATAATGAGGTTGTATGGTCAATGCAGAAATCTGATGGATAAGTCGTGATTGTATCTTCTAACGATCAATTAAATCCACTTCCGTCGTGTGTGTGTGTCATAACAATCAGATGGGGTGTTGACTATAGATTGTTCCTATCGGGAATCGATCATTTATCAAACTTTGTATGGCTTCTATACAATCTGATTGCACAGTCTGTTTTTCAGTGGCCATACACAGTTCTATAAATCAATATTCGATCAGTCTCTCGATAGTAATAACCGATAGTCAACAATGCAGTTGATTGGTATTACACACGGAAGTGAATTTTGACCAATAGTTGGAAGATATGATCGTAAATTATCCGTGGTGTCTGGTTCTAATACAAACAATTGGATTGATCACAATACAATGGAACTGATAAACGAACCATCTCCGGGCTGCCAATTGATACAAAGCAATGAATAATTTTCCACCTGAGCCAATCAACTCCGTTTGATCGAATCTGATCTAAGTCTGAATCATTTGGAAGGAAAGTTGTGGCTGTTCCTCTTCACCGAAATTGACCATCGATCAGATAATGACATTGAGGCATTAGGCTGACCATACACTATACAATCTGATTGTACAATCTACCCTCAACTATGTAAAATAAGTGCCTGCGTAGTTTGATACTAATTTAAGTCGGCCATACCTAGATCAAAATTGGTCTACCTGGCCGAATTTTGATCATGTATGGGCAGGCTGGTTGTACAGAAGTCGCTCTACCAATCAACGTCTGTACAACCGTATAGGGCCAGCCTATAGGCCTCTATAGAAGGCCCAGTATTCTTTGTTCAGAGTGAAGAAGATTCGTCTTTTGATCCTCATCTCCATGGACAGGCGTGTCATCAGACCAGGGCTTTCCTCACAGGCATGTTCTTACAACAATGGATTGGTTGGATGGATTGGTTGGTTGGTTGGTTGGGTCAGCTGCTGGCGATCCTGCTGCTGCTGGCGACATGTTGAAATCGCTGTGGCAAAATCAGTAAGAAGCTTCTGGTGACTTTGACCCTCTGAAACAGAGGAAGCCATGTGTCAGGCTCATAGCGATCGAGATTCAGCAACATTCCAACATCTCACTACGTCAGTCCTACACAGTGAGCGATTCCATCGGGACAGACGGGCAATCTCTATAGAGAACCTGCCAATGATGGTTGGTCTGTAGTGTCAGGATCACCCGTCTGATATCCGCTCTACACTGCCTGTATGGAAACAAGTCTTTTGTTTCAGATCTAACATGGTAAACGTCTGTAGGAGCTCTGAGGTTGACATGTTGGTGGTGGATCGTGGCTGGTCTCAGGGCTGTCCTTCCACCCACCAGTACATGATAGAACACTGAGAGCCTTTGTGTCCTGGAGATCCATCATTCGGGTGGAACTGATGGGACTGCAGAGGATGAAATGCTGCTGATCTCATAGGGGTAGAAGATCCAAGAAAGATGTTCTACTCACATGACAGTCTGTAAAGATATCAACAACTTCTCATCCCTCCTGTTCCCTTTAATCTGCCTGAACCTCTAGTTGATTCAAATTAGAACCCTAATGCAGCCTTTCTGAACATTTTCAACACAAGGAACCCCTGCTAAAACCTTGGTGGCCGGCGGTGAGGTTGTCCCCCCTTACCTTGGTGGCCGGCGGTGAGGTTGTCCCCCCTTACCTTGGTGGCCGGCGGTGAGGTTGTCCCCCCTTACCTTGGTGGCCGGCGGTGAGGTTGTCCCCCCTTACCTTGGTGGCCGGCGGGGAGGTTGTCCCCCCTTACCTTGGTGGCCGGCGGGGAGGTTGTCCCCCCTTACCTTGGTGGCCGGCGGGGAGGTTGTCCCCCCTTACCTTGGTGGCCGGCGGGGAGGTTGTCCCCCCTTACCTTGGTGGCCGGCGGGGAGGTTGTCCCCCCTTACCTTGGTGGCCGGCGGGGAGGTTGTCCCCCCTTACCTTGGTGGCCGGCGGGGAGGTTGGCCGGCGGGGAGGGTTGTCCCCCCTTACCTTGGTGGCCGGCGGGGAGGTTGTCCCCCCTTACCTTGGTGGCCGGCGGGGAGGTTGTCCCCCCTTACCTTGGTGGCCGGCGGGGAGGTTGTCCCCCCTTACCTTGGTGGCCGGCGGGGAGGTTGTCACCCCCCGGGGAGGTTGTCCCCCCTCACCTTGGTGGCCGGCGGGGAGGTTGTCCCCCCTTACCTTGGTGGCCGGCGGGGAGGTTGTCCCCCCTTACCTTGGTGGCCGGCGGGGAGGTTGTCCCCCCTTACCTTGGTGGCCGGCGGGGAGGTTGTCCCCCCTTACCTTGGTGGCCGGCGGGGAGGTTGTCCCCCCCTTACCTTGGTGGCCGGCGGGGAGGTTGTCCCCCCCTTACCTTGGTGGCCGGCGGGGAGGTTGTCCCCCCCCCCCCTTACCTTGGTGGCCGGCGGGGAGGTTGTCCCCCCCCTTACCTTGGTGGCCGGCGGGGAGGTTGTCCCCCCCCTTACCTTGGTGGCCGGCGGGGAGGTTGTCCCCCCCCCCCTTACCTTGGTGGCCGGCGGGGAGGTTGTCCCCCCCCCTTACCTTGGTGGCCGGCGGGGAGGTTTGTCCCCCCTTACCTTGGTGGCCGGCGGGGAGGTTGTCCCCCCCCCCCCCCCTTACCTTGGTGGTCCCCCCCCCCCCCCCCGGCGGGGAGGTTGTCCCCCCCCCCCCCCTTACCTTGGTGGCCGGCGGGGAGGTTGTCCCCCCCCCCCCCCCCTTACCTTGGTGGCCGGCGGGGGGAGGTTGTCCCCCCTTACCTTGGTGGCCGGGGAGGTTGTCCCCCCCCCCCCCCCCCTTACCTTGGTGGCCGGCGGGGAGGTCCCCCCCCCCCCCCCCCCCTTACCTTGGTGGCCGGCGGGGAGGTTGTCCCCCCTTACCTTGGTGGCCGGCGGGGAGGTTGCCCCCCCCCCCCCTTACCTTGGTGGCCGGCGGGGAGGTTGTGTCCCCCCCCCCCCCCCCCCCCCTTACCTTGGTGGCCGGCGGGGAGGTTGTCCCCCCCCCCCCCCCCCCTTACCTTGGTGGCCGGCGGGGAGGTGGTCCCCCCCCCCCCCCCCCCCTTACCTTGGTGGCCGGCGAGGAGGTTGTGTCGTCCCCCCCCCCCCCCTTACCTTGGTGGCCGGCGAGGAGGTTGTGTCGTCGTCCCCCCCCCTTACCTTGGTGGCCGGCGAGGAGGTTGTGTGTCGTCCCCCCCCCCCCCTTACCTTGGTGGCCGGGGGGGGTTGTCCCCCCCCCCCCCCCCCTTACCCCCAGCTTACCTTGGTGGCCAGCAGTGAGGTTGCCCCCCCCCTTACCTTGGTGGCCAGCATGCCACTCTTACAAACAGCAAAATACATAATTGGCATCAAACCCTTATCTCTGCAAGTGGCATTGGCCCCAGAACAATGCAGGCAAAATAAATGCCGCAAAATTACTTGACAAACTCAGAATTGTTATACTCACAGTGCCAATTCTCATTGCATTACATAAATGGTTTTGTGAATTATCCCTGTAAGGGCAGCCTTTCCCAAACCTTTTAACATGGAGGAACCTTTGAAATAACCTTTTCGGTTTCAAGGAACTTCTGTTAATAATTAATAGAACTACAGTTCACTGATGATTATGGTAAGTGGGAAGAATGCTCCTTACATTTGTGGTCACTGGGAAGAAATCCCCTCTTACAGATGGTGAATCATTGGTGTCAGTGCTTACTTATCTCAGAGGCAGAACTTACCTATTACTCAACTCCTAGCCACCTCTGGAGGAACCCTAGGAATCCATGGATGGAGAGGAATCCATGGATGGAGAGGGCTGCTTTAGTGGCTATCGGTGGACCCAGCTTCATGAGTCAACAGCTATTAAGATAAGAAATCCTCTAAAACCGATTGAGTTGTCTTCAGTCAGATGTGACTGGTAGACTTGCACTGAGCTTGGTGAACAGTGGGGTTTTCCATGGACATTGGAGGGCAGCCAGGTGGCCAAGCAGGACTTCACCCCCCTGAAGACTCTAAATCTTCTCAGCTCCATAGAGCATTCCATAAACCTACACCGTTGGTTCTGCCGACCTTGCACAATTTTATGCCAAAGCACAATATTGAAAACTGTTGTTGACGGGTTATGTTAAGAGCTGTAGTTATATGAACAGGCTTTCTAACCTTGATTGGCTGATGTTCCCTCTAAATGCTGTCAACTGATTTGTGCTACCATACACGAGTCTCCAAAGCAGAGATGGGCTTGCGTTTGGTCTAAGCTCCGAAATGAACTGTCACCGCTGGGCCAATGAGCTGCCAGCTGGAGATTTCCCACCCCATAAAGGCGGGGATGATCATGACATCATTGATTTAATATGGTAACATGGCTATGTTCAATGATGATGGGCGAATATGGAAATGTGGCCGTGTTGGGTCAACAAAGTAGACCTAATGTGGCCATAGTGCCCTTATTATGTCACTGATGTCACTGACATTCTTGCCCCTTCGTG